CAGGAGCAGATGGTGCAGGGCTGCAGACGGTTAATTAGCACAATAATGATGTCATTTCATAAATGTATCATACATCGTTAACAGCCACTTTGTATCGTATGTAGTTCAGGGCTAAAAGATGAAACACAATGCTGAAATAAGTCAAATGGAGGCTGTGACTCAGAGGATTAATGAGCCCTGCTACTGGGACTAATATGTTATTAGTCTGGTACATTAGAACACATTTGGAATATGTGTAAGTCTTTAATATACATTCAGTATTTATGATGGCTATTTGGCAAGAGACCTTTATGACGTACTTACCTCATAAAGGGGGTATAGATAACAAATGAGTGACAATGTATATACTGTATACTGGTATATTCATAAGCACATTTATAGTGTCTTATTATATTAATCATAACACATTATAAAGCATTTTTATTATGACTTAATTTAAACAATGCTTAATTGGTACTTAGGGGCCCAAAGAAAATATCCCCCATACCATTACACAACCACCATCAGCCTGAACCGTTGATACAAGTCAGGATGGATCCATGCTCTCATGTTGTTTACGAAAAATTCTGATCCTGAATGTCTCAGCTGAGACCGAGACTCATCAGACCAGGCAAAATGTTTCCAATCTTCTATTGTCCAGTTTTGGTGAGCCAGTGCAAATTGTAGCCTAAGTTTCCTGTTCTTAGCTGACAAGAGTGCCACCTTCTGCTGCTGCAGCCCATCTGCTGCAAGGTGTGGTGTGTTCAGTAGTTACTGATATTGCAATTGCGATTTGACACGATATTAGAGGGAGTATTATGATGGTTGTGTGATTCTTTTTTTTTTAAATAGGGTCTGTACCAACCAAGGATTCTCTTTTTTATTTACAATATTTGGGAAAAGCTAGATGTTTGCCGTATTGTATATGCTTTATATTTCTACAAGATGGGGTCTTGTGTTTTTATCAGAACTCGAAGGAAGAGCCTGGTGCTTGGCAGCATTAAGATCTATTTGTTGTTCAGATCCATCCGTTCTTCCCTCTCCCACATAACCCAGCAGCAAAGCGCCTTAAAACACTCCCCTGTGATGTGTGTGTAGAGGTGTGTGTGCTTGTGTCACAGCAGCCTGTTGTCACTGCACGTGATTTAATGGAGGTAAACACGGTGGGCGGCTGTGACGCTCCACACTATGCTATCAGAGGCTGGAGGTCTGTCAACATGTGTCCTACTGCAGGGATTTAATGAAGTGAAGAAGAGGCTTTCATACAGCATGAGGCAGATACTGCACGAGTCCCTCATCATGTACGGGTCAAAGCAATGCATTTCATATTACTTTGGATGATGGTTTAAACACATCTAACTGATAGTGTTTAATTAAAGAATATTTTTATTTACAGTTTAAGCATTATTCCACTGTGATGTGTATGTGTTGTTTAAGTATTTACTAGACTGGGTAGTTTAAAAATTGTCCCCAGTATTTGTATAAGTATGCACTATATGGGTGGTTTTGGCTGAGGGAATCTGAGGGCGTCCAACAATATTTTGTTCTTGATTTTCATTGAAGCAATGGATCAAATGACAAAACAGTTATCAAGCTGCGACAGAACCAATGGATTTTGTCTTATGTCATCTGCTAGCATAACTTCTCTTAAACAGACACAACTTTTCCCATTTTGCTCACAATGTTATCAATTGGTTTATACCAGATACAAAAAAGACCGTGACAATATATATTATAATCCAAGGTTGTATCTTATTATTTTGTCTATATAGTTGTATACATAATTGCAGTGTTGGATCAGCTTTTAACTGATGCTTTGATCCTAATGCAACATATTTCGTTTTAACTACATTAAAGGTCACCTATTGTGCAAAATCCACTTTTTAATGTATTTTACACATCAACATGTGTCCCCTAAAAAAAAAATTGGCTCTCTTTTTCTCCTGATCCTTTTATATAAAAACCTGTCTGAAAAGGAGCTGATTAGATTTTGGTCACTTTGTGATGTCACAATGTTTTTTTGGCTTGTGTAAACATTAGCCAATAACCAACCAAGGTAACCCCCCCCCCCACACACACACACACACCTTATCACCTGAATCTCCTCCTAGAGCACCATTGTGTTATTTTTAACCAAATCTCTCTCAGATGGGCGTGGGGAGTGGC